TGAAGACCACTTCTTTTTTGATAAAAGAATAAATAAATAGAAGCGAAAGAGAACATACTTTCTTTTTTGAGATAAGCGAAAGAGAACACACTTGTTCCCCACTTCATAATTAGAAATAAATAAAGTGCTAAACGATAAGAATATACGAGACAAAACTATGTAAACGTTTAATGTTAGAAATACTGCATCTTTCATCGTCTACATATCTAACCGTTACTAAATTCACTTACATCCTCCTCTCTAGCTGTCTTTGGCACCGACCCGATAAAAAGTTTGGCAAAACTGCCACCATCGGAACGATCTGTCCGAGAACAACAACAATATGAGTATGTATCAACAGAGACAAGCAAGATGCCTACTGACCTCACATATAGCAAGTTAAAAACATGATGACAATAACTAGTTCATAGCACGTCACCCCCATAGTCACCAATTATTACGAAAGGAACGTGCTAAGAGTGAAAATAATATCGAAAAAGTGCTTGAACACGATAATCAACATGCAGAAAAGTGTTTGAATCCATAACAGCAGTGACAGCTAAATAATGTTGAAAATTAGAATGATAACCGCTTGATTATGTGTCGCCAAATAACTGGAGGAGAATTTAGACAAAAGTAAATCCAAGTAACGAGTTCTCAGATTTCTATGACATATGCATAAACTCAGACAACTTAAGGCGCAGAAAAGATTCTTAACAAGATTGAAGTAACTGCATAGGCGCGTCCGTCATCTTTTAAGAAATAAAAGTGCACGTAATTTCTATTGAACTGGGACTAAAACATACCGCGAAAGGAACTTACACACTAAACTAAAACCTAGCTCCGAAACGTACTTTAGGTGAGAAAAAAGAAATCGAAGCTTACCTGGTGAACCACCTCGGCCAGGGAAAGGAAACCCTCGTTTCTGTCCAGATAGAGGCTGTGGAGGCGGCGGAGCCTGAAAATTAGAGCCAAACCCTCCAGTACCACCACCACCTCCAGCGTTCATGGGCGGAAATCCTCCGCCACCGCCAGCACCCCCACCCACACTCATAGGACGGAACCCTCCGCCTCCGCCACCAGAATGTCGACGCGGGGGACTGTCAAAGGGGCGGTGACCACCTCCAATGGGAACACGGAAGTTGCTGGGGCTGGTGCGGCGGCGTTGATGGTGAAATTCTTCGTCGGCGTCGTGTTTGCTGTTGTCGGAAAAGCGGTTCATGGGAGGAGCGTCAGAGAAGCGAGAAGGACCTCTGGAGTGATGGCGGTAGTTGTGGTTAGAGTCCTCGTTGTTGGTGGTGGTGCTATTGGGGCCATAGCGGTCTCCTCTGTGCCTATCCAGCTTGACTGACTGACTGACTGCTTCGACCAAGGAAGCAGAATATTAAACCCTAGAAATGAGTTGGGAATTTTGGAGAAGACAGAGAGAGAAAGAGAAGCGAAGATGAGAGCTTGGACTTGCAAGTATGTGTTTTCAATGACGAGTTAGAGGGAAAGGGGCGTTTGCGAGCGTAAACTACGAGGGCGGGGCGGAGCGGAGGAAAGCGGTCGTGGGTATTTTGTATTTGCGCATCCTCTTGCGAAGGAAAATGATTAGTAAAGTTTAAGAAATTTGCATTTATTGGGCCGGGTAAAAGGCCCGCTTCATTTTTATTTTATTTACATCTAATTATTTTATGTATAAAATGATTTAAAAAGTTTATCAAACAATAAATACACATCCCACGTAAATATATATATATATATTATATTTTTTACTAATATATATTAATATCATCTTAGATTGAAAAACTTTTAATTTTGCATAAACCTTCAAATGGTTGGTGGAATGTGAACGTTAATGATGTTTATCATGTAACTACCAATCTCGTCTGCTATGGCGGATTTATTAGCGACGAGGATGGTGCTTGCTTGCGAAACTTCAGCTGAAAAATTGGCAGATATTTTGTGCTTCAGGTCGAACTTTTAAATGCACTCGTTGACCTTCAACTCATTTAGAATACTAAATTTTATAGTATTATTTTAAAAATGAATAGCGTTTTAACAGTGTAGTTACTTATTAAGCAGGATTATGGTACTAATACGTATGTCGTCCTCATTTGTGAGATCAAACACTTACTACTACAAGACTGGTAGGTCACGATCCAATATGTCTAAAGTAAAAATAAATAAATGCATTGATTGATTGACAAATGTCAGTTTATCTTTGCCGATAATCTTCAATTCTCATGATCAAATACCGAATGATCTCAAACAGTTACTCACTGACGATATCATGAGTGTCTCTTGTTCATAAATGTGGATGACGATCTCTTAATTTTTTGTTGACTTTGGTCTCTCTTTGTAAAAAAAAAAAATTAAATATATAATTTAAATTAGTAGTTATTTTATTATATTATAATTATTGATTTATCTATATTATTTAATTAGTAGATTTGTAAATTTATTCAGAAAAAATTATAAATCGCAAAATTGTCTAGTTAGTTTTAAAGACTAGACACATTGAATACATATATTATGTACGCTGTATTAAATTACTATCTTAATATTTCACAATCAAAACAAGAAACATTATGTGAACCATAAAACAGAGTATTAATAAATATCAATAAATATATATTTTTTCTTAATGAATATAAATATTGTTATATAAGAGATTTGGTATTGAGATTATTTTTTAAAAAATTTAAAATTATTGTAAATTTTATTTTTAAATTCAGATTTAATCTAATTATAAAATAGTAAAAATATTTCAGTAACAAAATTAAAATAATAAATTGAAAATTCCATTGATTAAGAATATGAAATCCCAATTCCCATTAAATTTTACAAGAGGGACAATTATTTAGATATCCTACTACGGACAACAAAACCAGCATGTTATGGATATTCTAAAAAGAATTACATTTGCCTTTTGTACCTGTAATTCTCAACTAGAAGAATCTTGCCATGCATACAATAAAAATAATAGTAAGCAAAACAAGAGTAGCATTCATTCACATCCAGGCTCTGTCATGCATAAAAACATTTATGTTTAGAAATTTAAAACAAAGACACCAGCAGTTCCTTATAAATTCAGAAGAACACAAAAGCAGATGAAGTTGCTCAAATGGCAAAAAAACAATACCCCATTTCACCAAAGGACTATTGAAACAGATATCAGCAAAAAATATAGAAGACTGCAATGAAGTTGAGTTAGCATATATAACAGAACATGGTAATGCATTGAAGTCTGCATCCCTAATAGCCTATTTTAATAGAAGTTCAGGGGAGGATTACAAAATCTACACAGCCAGAGAACAAAAGCTTAAAGTGAGCACCTATACGGCTATATATGGCATATAAATTCATCCAAAAAGAAGCATCTAAGACCAAACCCAAACCTGTAACAAAAGGATCAAGACTTATCATAGTCCCAACCCCAAGCCTTGTAATTCCTTCCCTAGTGGGAAACTAACAAAAGCATCTACACATGCATAGTGAACCTTCATGTTACTAAGTCAGTAAGCCTCCCCATTACTCATCCCAAACCGACTCACAGACTCAATCCCAAGCCTGTAGTTCCTTCTCCAGTGAGAAACTAATAAAAGCATCTACACAAGCATACTGAACCTGCTCGTCACTAAGCCAGTAAGCCTCCCAATTACTCATCCCAATACAAACCGGTTTTTCCACACCCTCGGCGCCCAATATTATATGTGCCAACCTCTCCATGGACAAGTTACTGCTCAGCCCCCTCCTCTCTGCAGCAACATCCCGAAGCTCAATAAGCCTCGAAACAGAAAGTTCATGCTCCGATTCCCGGAGCAGATACTCGTCGTTGTAGTTCCAAACTCCCACAAACGTGTTTCTCTCATCATGGAGGAAACGGCGAAGAGATAAGGGAACCGAAGGGGCATGCATGAGTTGGAAAACGAGATAATGACAACCAATGCAGAGCTGGAGGGTAGCGGCTCGAGGGTTACTGGAGGGAAGCCATTGGACGCCGAGGCCTACAACAAGCTTGTGGCGACGAGTTCGGTGCATGTGAAGGAGCCGGTAGAGCCAGCTGCTTACGACATAAGGTTTTGAGGTGACTTTGGTAATGGTGGGGTAATCGAAGAAGTTGACTGTGAAAGTCCTTTCACGGTGTGGGTTAGGATCATGGTGGGGGACATATGTTTATGAACTGGTCATTCATGGTGATTCTCTCTATCGCGGACTATATAGACAGGTGTTTAGTCCGCTTCCTCTGGTTATGGTGTCTAGGGTTTATAGAGAACTAAATGAGCAAAGAATTCAGAAATGTAAAGAGGCTAAAAACGTATGGCAAATGAAAATCCACTCCCAAAATACACACGATTTTAGGTCGTGATCAATGTATTAGTGCTTTATATGATAATATTTACATTTATATAGGAATAATAATTAGGAAGACTCGTGGTAAAGTAGAAAAACCTGCTACTACATAAGACAGACGACATCGTTTGCTGTTTCCTCTCCAAGAAAAATATCTTCCGGAGTTTCGTCGTCTTCTCCGGCTGAAAACTTTTTGACACCCAATCAAACGAGCTTAGCCACACAGGAAATGATGAGTCAAGCAATACAGAATACAGGATCTGTATATTAATAAGCACATAACCAGACTATCAGTTGAGATTTATATGAATACGAAATGATCAAAGACTTCTGAGCAGATCAGTCATCTGCTAATTTTATGGTTTGTTCATGAATCTACAAAAACCATATAAAACTTTTCCGCACTAAACCCCTCGCATCTAAAAGCTTCCGCACTTGTAATTTGTGCTTGGAACCGAACAGTTTCTTCTTATGCCGTCCAACTGGGATTCAAACAAATGTGAAGCGACTACCCACTAAAACACGTCGGAGGATCAACGGGACGTGGTTGGCGTAGCCTATTTGATAGATGAGGCATCGGCTCCCCACGCACAGTTGCAGTGTATCTACCTGTGATTCGACGCCAACGGGAGTCCACTGGATCCCGAGGTCCACACCAGATGGCTGATATAGTCGCGGCAACAGTAGAGCCATTTTTTAACAACCGAGATCGTTGCCGTCACGGTCACCTTCACTGAGGCACCAAAGAATTCCACGGAGAAGTCGCGCGACTTTTTGCTGTTCTTAAGACTTTGGATATCCTCGCTGCTGCCATTTATGCAGAGAAAAGGAGACCGATCTTGGGAAAAAAAGAGTTGGTTATTATAGTCTTGAATTCTTATATTGATTTTTCAGTTTTCGTGCTTGTGAAGGGACTAACGAACTAGTGCATGCTTGCTTTTAATTATTTGAATCATTACCTTGACAGTTTGGCGCTTTAGTATACCAGTAAGATGAGACGTACAAAAGTGAAAAGGCAAAACGCAGTTGCTTTGGCGGTTCCTTTCTCCGCAAGCTAACATCCCCTCAGGAGCTTCGTCGTCTTCCTGAATTGAAAACCTTCTCTGACCGTCAATCAACAAGCTCGCCGGAGCGAGAAAAAAATTGAACAGAGAGCATACAAGATCTCTACACTGGTAAGCACATACCTGAAATACTTGTTGATGATGCTCATAACCTGACGGTGAAAAGATTAAAAAATTAAATAGACGCCATAACAAAACATGATACGAACACCGAATGAACAATGAACTCTGGAAGAAACTTCAAAAGTTTTTATTATAGCTATTTAAGTTCTGTTCGTGGATCCAGATGAAAAAATAAAATGAAGTCCGCATTCATTCTGAGCAATCTATGCCTAACTCTCTCGTGAGCTTAACAAAACCGAATCACCAAAATAGCTCCTACATCTTAACTTCATAAGAGATCTGAAAACTGCAACACTACACCGCCGTTTATGTTCAAAACGAAAGCAAAGCCAAACCCGGCTGCAATCACATATATGAATCAGTTCTCACAAGATATAGCGGACGGTAGCGGTGGCGAAACTCGTACAGCCAATTCCAGAAGTTGTTGCCGTCATAGTCACCGTCGTAGAGGCACCGAAGAAGTCCTCGACGTACTCGCGCGAGTTTGTTGTGTTGACGACGCCGGTGATTATTAGTGTCGCTGCTGCCATTTCTGCGTAGAAGAATACCCTGTACGTGGGAGAGCTGAAGGAGTGGATTTCTGTTTTGATTTTTTAGTTCTCGCGCCTGTGAGGAGAGTAGCTAGTATATAGTCGCTCAAACCGTGATTCTAACGCTGTGGAATGATCTGGACCGTAGATTTCATTTGGAATAGTTTGGTTTACTCATTAATTGCCGTGAAACGGCAGCGTTGCAACGGGTGATGATGACTTGACACAGCTGCTACTCAGTAGCTGCTAGGATACAATCACTAATCGCTGCGCGCGGTAACTGGGTAAAAGTGTACGTAAACAAAAAATTTCAACGATACCTTTATGTATTTTAATTATTAAATTATTAAATATATCAACTAATTATCTGTAAGTCGATAATATTTAAATACATTTTTATGTTTTTTATAAAAATTTTAACTTAAACTTTTTTTATAATAAATAAATTTTAAATATAATTTTATTTTCACTTAGAATTTTTCACAAACTTAAATTTAAATATAGCAAAAAAAATAAAAATTAACAATTAAGTAATATTAAAAAGAATTAAACGATAAATCAAACAAAGTTTTATTTGATTTTACCAAGTCATTTTAGGAGAGGAAATTTTGATAATTACGCGGATTTTATTTATTGGAATCTCAGTCAATGTGTTATAACGAAAAGATAGCAGTAGCTGTCTCAAAGAAACAAATATTATTATGCCACTACCGTTGATGTTATCCGAATCTATGGTTCGTTGTTATCTTTCAAACACGAATTAAATAATATATTAATAAATTAATATTTTAATAATGAATAGATTAAAAAGGCAAATATAAAAAGGATTCGCAGAGAAAGCTGCTTTTTTGTTTTCGGTTTCGATTCTTTTTGAAAAGCTCTCGAGTTGAATTTCGGAGGTGTGAAAATGGCGAAACACGAGGAGCTTCCAATTCCGATTTTCTCATCGTTGGAGCCGGTGTATGGAGAGGGATCTCTCCATGAGGAAGCTCAGCTTAGGTTTGAAAGATTGAAAGCTAAATTCGTTGAAGTCTTCGGTCACCCGCCCGAAATCTTCGCGCGATCTCCAGGTCGGCCTTCCACCGTCCAATTATCTGTTTTCTTTTTGTGATAAAACGAGTGTGCTGTGTTCTTAGCTGGATTTTTGGAACCACTCAGCTTTCTCCATCTAACTCGCTGCCTGATGAATTCGCGAATTCCTTTGTTTCTAATTTTGCTGGTTATAATTCGTGGATGGTTTGATGGTTGTTTGTTTGCAGGGAGAGTGAATTTGATTGGAGAGCATATTGACTATGAAGGATACTCGGTGTTGCCGATGGCTATTCGCCAAGATACGATCGTGGCGATCCGCAAGAACAATGATGCAGGAAACAATCAAAAGTTGCTTCGAATTGCAAATGTAAACGAAAAATATACCATGTGTACTTATCCTGCTGATCCTGACCAGGTAATATATACATAGTAATTTAGTGTATGTTGGTTTTAATGGACTGAACTGTTCGCTAATTTTTTCTGCGACTCGAATTTTGACTGTTTCTATTTAGTAAGAGAATTGCTTGTTTTAGATTGATTAAATCTGGTTGTCTTTGTATGTTGATGTTAAAAAGTTAATTTTATGCTTCTACCTTTTTTCTGCCGCACGTAAAGGAATTTGAATTTGTCATAGTACATGACATTTGACTATGTATCCTGCAGGAAGTTGACCTGAAGAATCACAAATGGGGTCATTATTTTATTTGTGGGTAAGTCCTTGTAATCGAAACTGGTGTAATTGCCAGCTGGCTTTGATGAATATACTCATTTAGCATATACATGATTTTGAAGTAACATCCATCTAAAACATTAGGAGAAACAACTTTATTCTGGAAGAATAAAAGTTCATGGCAAACTGAAGCGGATCAATATGATATGATTTTCTTTTGCGGATTATGTTAGATTGGGGAGTAGATACAATTAATTAACATATAGTTGATTGTATCCTCCAGATATAAAGGTTACCATGAGTATGCTAAATCAAAAGGAGTGGATGTTGGTCTGCCTGTTGGACTTGATGTTGTTATTGATGGAACAGTTCCAACAGGTATGCTGTCATGTTATTCTATGGCTACCAAATAAAGGTTGATTAGTGAACCTTTCCTGACTCTGCTTTATTTCTAAGTGAAATTTAGTCTTAAGTGA